GGGAACCCGCCCGGTGCCCCTGGTCTGCTGGAGACGGTCTCCAGCAGACCAGGGGCACCGGAGCAGCTTACGAACGGGGCTTTCTCGCCCCGACTTCCGGGGCGAGAAAGCTCCGTTCGTAAGTGCGGATCCGACATAAGTCGGATCCGCGTAAGTCGGGGACTGCCTGTATTTCACATTCCACTAGCTAAATGCCTGAGCATCTGCTAAGTTCCTCCCTCAGAGGCGATTTTAGGTCACTTGTTGCCCTAGTGCCTTTCACATCACACAAGATTAGCAGAGATTAAAATGCTGAATTTTCCACCCCCCGATCCAGTGGTGGTCAGCCTGTGGCCCAAGGGTCGCATGCAGCTCATTGGGATTTTGTGTGTGCTTTGCTAGACCTTTTGTTTTCCATTGCCCACACACAAGGGTTACCACACTTCGCATTTTCCAACATGCAGGGGGTTTTTCTTATTGGTATTACAAAAGTGACACGACTTAACCCAAGGGCATGTAAAGGTGCATGCTGATCACACACAATATTTACTATAAAAGCTGAGCACACCCTCTACAGCTAATCAAAGTGCTGCTATGGTTCAATCAGCATACCCTGCTAATTCTATGTGTACATAAGTGCAACTAGCAAAACTGCCTTATCCCAGGACTGTATTGGTTACCAAATCTTGTGGCCCACTAAGATGGAGAGGCCCACTTGCAGCTCACTCAGCCCCTCACTGCCTTAACCTCACAGTGATAGGAACGAACCTGGCAGCACCCCAGCTGCTCTACCCCAGGTGTCCCCAAGTCAGCTGCTGCTGAAACTGATCAGCGGCTGATTCCAGGAAGCCCAGGGCAAAGCAGCTCTGCCTCGGGCTTCCTGTAGTCAGCCACTGATCAGTTTCAGCAGCAGTTGAATCGGGGACACCTGGGGTACAATATGTAACAGTTCTGACTTACATACAAATCCAACTTAAGAACAAACCTACAGTCCCTATCTTGTACGTAACCCGGGGACTGTCTGTACAAGTGCCCTTTTAGCCTATGTATTTACTGTTATCTGGCTATCTTTACCTAGTGTACTTCTGAGTAACAAGTTTGAGGACAGTCGGTGTAGATATAGTATTAAAATATTCTGTGTTCTTAAGTTTTTCCTACAGTTTATTCCTACTGAGGCTGTAAAGGAAGCAGTATATTCAATGGATAACTTAAGACATTTAAGGTATAGCATCAAATTTGAGGTGTTACTGAACACACTGAGATTACATTTTAAAGTGATAAGATTTGAATATTCCACATCATACTCTATAAAATGCCTGATCTGTAAGATTCTAAAATACACTAGCTCATATTTATTATGAGCCAAGAGCCAATTATACCCAATTGCTACTCAATGGGGGACAGATTGACAAAATGTTATGTAAGCAACAGCGCTAGTTAAGTGGATACTTCCTGGATATACACAGCAAAATTGAGATCTTGATTATAGGATTCAGACATTTGCTTGTCTCATGTCACTGTGTTGAGCAGATTAATCAGAAACCACTAGTGAGCAACATAATTGCACAGAAGCTAGAAGATTGATAGATATTTTATTGCTGCTTGGAAAGCCTGTTAAGTGCTTGAGGCACCTGTGTCGATACTGTTTTACAGGCAATCCAGAGGGTGTCACCTCTTCCAGGTTGAAGAAAGCAAGCTGAAGAACCCCTATCTCTTTTGCTAAGTCAAAATTCTCATTTTTAAAGTTATTTAGTTTTGCATGAATACTACAGGGTATTCGTGAAATGCAACAATTGCTCTGCTATTTTAAAAATAAAAAACTCCATAAGAAATTGCTTATTTTATTTTCGATCAAATATCTACTTGCTAAATATCTTGCTAAACATTCCATTGAAATTATTTCCTTTACATGTCCTCAAAAACCCACCTCTAATCAAACTATGTTGCACTTAATGCTAAGGCAACAAATATTCCTGGGGGGGAGGAGGAAGAGTCAGGTCAAACAGACAATCAAATGAGTGCAAACTATTGAGTGCAAACAATTTGCACACATTGACAACAAAACTAATAACATTCAAACATAAGCATGGTCGCATATTAACACTGCAAGTAAAAGCTGTATATTTAGTGTTGTCCAAAATTATTTAGCCCATAAACAAAGCATGATATTCCAGTAAAGATTTATTTTTCTTGACACTTTTCTAAAAAAATATTTTAAAAAGCAACATCTCAAATGAAAAAAGGTAGAGAATGTCCTGGTTAACTGTCAAGAGACAAAAACTTTTTTTTTTTAAGAATGTGTTTATTTATTGAACCTGGGTCATATTTAGATTCACAAGCAATTTTAAATGTACATCTTAGAATTTAATTTTGAAGTGTTTCACACAAAAATATTGGCACACAACAGTTGCATTCAGGTGTAACTGCCACCCTTTTTAAAGAACTGCTGCAAATGTTTGCCCAAGGTTGAAAAAGTTTACTTGGAACATGAAAACCTGTAACAAATCTTAAATTAATTATACAAAACTGTTGTGTGTTTACTTGTAGACCTTTCCCCTTTTTGAAAAGATTCCCTAACCCTTCCCCCCAAAAATAAAAGATTACAACTAATATACATCAGTCACAACATAATCCTGGATCAGCACCCACATCATAGACAAGTCTTTAAATGTTTTCCAACCCAGAAACATACCAAGAAAGAAAAGGAATTTTTCATATAAAAACTGAAATACACATGTGCCTGAAAAAGAAAAAACACACCGGTACTTAGCATTATGCTAATGAGGACCAGAAAATGGCAGAAAATAACACATTAAAATAAGGGCTGCATAGCATAGACATAAAACCCAAGAACCATTAACCCTTTGGCATCAGATATCCAGATTTCCTGAATACTGGTGCATTCTGCAATAGTGTCAACAGTATGAACTTCAGACCTACAAGCACCACGGGGTTAATAACTACTGTTTGCCAAGACA